TCCCAAGCGAGCTCTTAACCAGCTGAGCCACTTGGCCGGCCCAGGAAAAATATTTTTATCTCCATTATCCTAACCATCCCAAAACAATGATTTTCCTCTTTGCATTTCTTATATAATTATTGGCAGTTTAAGTATAATTTTGTTTTGCTTTTTTAAACCTCACGTCTTGAAATTGTTTTTCTCTGCTCTGTGCTGTAGCATCACCCGTTTTTGGGTTCTGTGTACTGTCTTTTAAAGCAGTATTTTAATGGCTTGATGATAGTCCTTTTATTTGCCCCCCCATCCCCGCTTTGCTGTTGTCTGTGAGGCTTCACCAAGGATCTTCGTACAGAGAGCTTTTGAAAAGCCGTTGAGTTTGTCTTTTTGGTTAAATTCCCAAGAGTGGGATTATCTGATAAAGGTTAGGAACATTTTTATGGCTCTCGATACGTATTGCCCCGGTGCTATCAGCAAATACGGACGCAGGTAGCTGTAAGTGAACATGTCATGATGGGAGGTAGCGTTGGTGCTGATTTCACATGGCTAACATGGTGCCCATTATTCATTTTGTATTTGTTCTCTTACACCCATCCTCCTGCCTCTGGATTCCTCTGAACTGCATTTGTATTATTCGTGTAAAGCTCACGTGATCAGACATTTATTAGTGATTTCTGCCTAGGTTTTCCACTTCCCACTTGATTGTGTCTTAATCATAGTACTTACGAGCACTCAGTAAATGCCTGAAATTTTCTGTTGAGTAGCCATTAACTTGTACAAGAATTGGATGCAGAAAAGGTGGATTGGAGAAAGGGGAGTGGGGCTGGGGGGCTTTGTAGAAGAGTGGACACGAAGTGAGGTTCGCATCACCACCCCTGTCTCAGTCTGTTAGTTTTAGGACTGAAGCACTTTGAAGGGACCGAGTTCCCCAAGCCCCTTATCAGCAAATACCTCCTGACTTGCAAGACCGCCTGCCAGCTCACGGTGAGGATCAAGAACCGCAGCATGAACCGAGCCCCTGACAACATCTTCAAGGTGAGTGCTCCCTGCGCGGCCTCCCGAGGACCTCGCTCACGTGCAGCGTCCTCTTTGTCTTTGGGCCCAGTGAAGAGAGGGGTCTTGACAACTAAGTCAGAGTCCACCTGCCTACGCTAGACTAACTCTTCTCTCGCCTTTCCAGGGACGTTGATCTAGCATTTTCCTCTCGAGTATCATCTTCTTCCTCTTGTTTGCTTAGAAAGGAAGCTTCCACGTGCCCAGGAGGAGGGTTAGGGCACTGTCCTTGCAGCTGTTGAGAAGGGGCAGAGTTTAAATAGGATCATTCTGACCGTCTCCTTCCGCTTCTGTGTGACCTCAACTCTTCCCTTCCTGGGGACCAGAACGGAGATCATCAGTTAGAGGATAGGCAGTAATTGTACAGTCTTTATCAGTTAGAGTTAGTTTAATCTGAAATGCAGAAGTGATTGGCCTATGCTGTTCATGTACGTGGATGTGTGGTGTGTGTGTGTGCACGCGCGTGCGCGTGTGCTCATGTCTCCCTCAAACCACTGCCTGCCCCACTCCCACACCTGACAGAGGGTAGTGTCTCTGACTTGTGCTTTATTCTTCATGCTCAGTTTTATAAGAAGACCAAACAGCTGCCTGTCTTAGGGAAGTGCTGTGAAGAGATCCAGCCCCATCAGTGGAAGCCACCTGTGGAGAGAGAAGAGCACCGGCTGCCATTCTGGTTAAAGGTACACCCCCTCCTCAGAGCCAGCTAAAACCCGAGCCATGCCCGCCACTTCCCAGCTCTCCGCGTTAGCTGTGGCGCTACGACTTCAGAAGTCTTCCTCATTCGCTCTTCTCCTCCTGCTGCCCCCTCCCCCTGGTGATTCCACAGCCTTTACAAATAGTGGGTGAGTTTCTAGAGTGCAGTTGGAATGTAGTAGTCATAGAAATTTGATGTCGTGCAGAAAAATCCTTGAAAAGATGTCTTGAGACTGTCCTGGAAAGGTCCCTAAAACCTGGAAAGCCCTGTTTTTTTCCCCCACTAGATTCTGACATGTGCTGGATCAGAGCGTTGTTGTTCCCAACAGGCCAGTCTGCCGTCTATCCGGGAGGAAATGCAGCGCATAGCTGATGGTGCCAGAACGGGAGGAAATGTGACCGGGACCACTGAGATCAAGCCAGACCCAGACCTAGGAAAAGGCAGCTCTGAGCCGGGAACTGAGCCCCGGTACCCACTGCTGCTGCCTAAGGGTGTAGTCCTGACACTGAAGCCAGCTGCCAACTGCTTTTCCAGGAAGGGGTGGAGACAGAAGCGCTCGTCCACCCTGAAACCCCTCCTTATCAGACCCAGCCCCTCTCTCCAGCCCAGCGCCAGCGCTGGGAAAACACCAGTTAGGTCAGCTCAGTCAGAAGCCCCTCCGAGCAAAGTGGTGGTCCGCATGCCTCCCACCCTGCAGCCAGCCACTGTTTTACAGACAGTGCCAGGTATCCGTCCCCTGGGGCTCACTGGGGGCGATAGATTTGAGTCTCCCACGGCACTGCCTGCTGTGCCCCCTGAGGCCAGGACCAGCTTCCCTCTGTCCGAGCCCCACACCCTGCTCTCCTCAGCTCCTGTGCCCAAGGTGATGCTGCCCTCGCTTGCCCCTTCAAAGTTTCGAAAGCCGTACGTGAAACGGAGAGGCCCCAAGAGAAAGGGGGCCAAGGCCCCCCTCTGTCTGAAGTCTGTCCCCCTCATCAACTCTGCCCCTGTTATCTTCACTGTTCCCGCCACCACCGTGAAGGTCGTGAGTCTCGGCAGCGGCTGCAACGTGATCCAGCCCGTCAATGCCGCCGTGGCCCCGAGTTCTCAAACTATTCCCATCACCACACTCTTGGTTAATCCTGCCTCCTTCCCCTGTCCGCTGAGCCAGCCCCTGGTGGCCTCTTCCATCCCCCCCTTAATTGTTTCTGGCAACTCTGTAAACCTTCCTGTACAGCCCGGCCCCGAGGAGAAGGCCCAGGTGAAGGTGGACATTGGGTGTCCTTTGGATGAAGGGAAAAATGCCTTCCAGGGTCTGGTACCCAAGTTAGAACCCCAGGAACTCTCTCCTGTCTGTGCTGCTGTCTTCCCCACAAAGGAGCACAGCCCAGGGCCTGCGCCCGCAGATGGGGAATGCCAGGAAGACTCGCCGGAGAACAGCGCCTATGTCTGGACTGTTGTGAAAACAGAGGAGGGGAGGCATGTTGTGGAACCTCTGGCTCAGGGTTTCCAAGAAGCTCTCAGCGCACTTCCTGGGGACTTAGAGAAAATTGTCAAGATGGAACCTAAAGACCACAGGGAGGAAGTCTGCAGCGCCCCCCTGGAACCAGCCTTTTGTGAGGACATCAAAGAAGAGCATTTTGGGGAGCTGGACGCCGGCTGTCCACGTGAGGAGTCTGGCGGCGCCAAGGAGGCGAGGAAACAGCCAGTCCTCCCAAAGGAGGAGAGGAGTCAACCCGCTAAAACACCTCCAACTTCACAAGAGCTTCCTGATGGAGGAAACTCAGGGAATGGGAGCAAAGACTCTGCAAAGAATGCTGCAGCCTCCGCTGAGCCTGAAGCGGCGCTGAGCAGCCCCCCAGGGAAGCCCGAAGACTCACCCAGCATTGACGGGCAGTCAGCGGGGACCCCAGCGGGGCCGGAAGCTGGAGGAGAGAAGGATGGGCCAGAGGAAGAGGAGGAAGAGGACTTTGACGACCTTACCCAAGACGAGGAGGATGAGATGTCTTCCGCTTCTGAGGAATCTGTGCTGTCTGTCCCGGAGCTCCAGGTGAAAGCTGGGAGGACTCTCAAATGCTGTGTCTAATACCGTGTTCATAATAGTATATTGGTAGGCCACCTGCTGCTTGCTGCACTATCGATAGTCCTAAAACCATTTTTATTTGACTTTTGAATGTATTATGGGACATAATTTTGAGTTTGAGGTGAGAGGAGAGGGAAAGGGTGAAATTTTACGTATTACATTCAATTAAACTAATTGAAACGTTAAATTGAGCACAATGTAAATGCCAAAAAAATAGGTCTTAAGTGTGGACCATGGCAGAGGAAAACTATCCTCAGGGTAGAGGGAACCTTCCAGAACGCATCCTCTCCTCCCGCTGCTGTCAGGCTGTGGTCCCAGCTACCCGCAACTCCATAATGCAGAGAACCGGGCCCTGATAGTTGTGAGAGCCTCACCCATCCCGATTGATTACCCTCAGTTCCTCCTGGTGGGCTCTGTGCAGTCAGCACGTGGTGGGCCGTCACCAGCCCTTCTGAACACTCTTGGGGTTTGCAGGAAACGATGGAAAAACTCACTTGGCTCGCGTCTGAAAGGCGCCTGAGTCAGGAGGGTGAGTCTGAGGAAGAGAACTCTCAGGAAGAGAACTCTGAGCCTGAAGAAGAAGAGGAAGAAGAAGCAGAAGGAATGGAAAGCCTGCAGAAAGAGGATGAAGTGGCTGATGAAACCAGCGGAGACCCTGCTGAGAAACCTCCTACCACCTTTGCCTCGCCCAAGACTGCTCCAGAAGAGGGGGCCAGCAGGACCCCACCAGGTGAGTTCGGCGAGCGGATGAGGCCAGGTCTCATTTGGCCTCACTGCCTAAAGTACGTGTGCAGAGCGGCTAGCGGGTGACCCGGGATCTGCATCTCCCCTGCAGCCTCCCTTTCCCACACAGATGTTTAAGTTGGTGCCTTTGCAGAGAAGAGATGCTCACGGTAGTTTAATTTAGATTCGCATCAGGTGCTAGACTTGTGTTAGGTTTATCCACGTCCTTAATTCATCTGTCACGCATGAGGCTGAGAGCTGTGCTGAGAGCTGTAGAAACACTGCCCGTTCCTCAGCAGACCTCGTCCCCGAGAGCCCGACACAGGCCACACTGCCTCCTAGACTGCTGCACCGAGCCGACTGGACAGACAGACATGCCTCTGGTCCCATTTCCCAGCAGCTTCCCCCTGAGTTGTCCATATTGTCGGTGGGGTAGAGTGGGGTGGGTGCCTGTGGTGGGCCGGCAGGCTGGGGGTGGCGGTGGAGAGACAGCCCTTCCCCTGTGTGCTCTAGGAGACAGCAGCAAAGCCGCCGGCAAGGGCCGGAGCAGCCACCGAGCTCGCAGCAAGCGGGGCAGCCGGGCCCGGGCCAGCAAGGACACGTCCAAGCTGCTGCTGCTGTACGACGAGAACATTCTGGAGCGGGACCCGCTCAGGGAACAGAAGGATTTGGCCTTTGCTCAGGCATATCTGACCAGGGTAGGCGAATGCCGCTTCCTGTTACCACCATTCCCTCTGAAGGAGGCCACTTCTCCCTCAAGGGAGGAGGGTTTAAAATGGAGTCTGCCTTCCCGGCTGCCCGACAGCCTTGTCTGCCTCTGCCGTTGCTCTCCTGGAATGACTGAGATCTGTGAGAGAACCCCAAGGAGACGGAACTCAGTCACAGCAGGGGGATTGTTAGTACCCCACATCACCCCTCTATTGCCCAGAAACTGGGGAAAGATGACACCGCCATCATGGGTAAGAGGCTGTGACCTCACTGGGGGGCTTCTAAGGACCTGTCCTGAGCCCTTGGCTTGAGAAGAAAGGCCTTCGGACACTGGCCAGAGAGTGGTCTCAGGGAAGCACTTGCTCTTCAGAGACGTGAACCAGCCGGTTCCTGGCAGCCGTCTCCTTCTCCAGCTAAAACGGGTTGCTTTATTTCCCAGCAGAGTGGAGGGCTAGCAGCGAGTGTCATGGCCTTTTCTTGTCTCCTGACGTCTTACTAGCAGTCCTGATCTCTGTGTTATTGACCCTCAGATAATACCACGCTGACATATGTGTAGCAGACACTCCTTACCTATTTCAGTGTGGAGCTGAAGTCAGGAAGGCGAGATGGGGGTTGTGAGCTAGAGAGAAGGTTGCCTGGTTTTGCGGGGTGGGCTGTGCTCTCCGGTTGCCCACTACAGAAGAGGAGCTGTCCCTCGCTCAGCGCTCCGTCTCGCCCGCCAACAGTCAGATCTCAGGGCCTGTCAGGGAGGAGCCTCTGAAGGATGAATCCCGGAGCTCCCCAACAGTAACTCCCCCTCCTTCCTTGGTGCCCTTGTTTCTTGTGGGGGCCAGAAGGAAGGGCCCTGGCGACTGACGTCTTCCTGTGCAGGTACGCGAAGCCCTGCAGCACATCCCTGGCAAGTATGAGGACTTCCTGCAGGTCATCTATGAGTTCGAGTCAGGCTCTCAGCGGGGGACAGCGGTGGATCTCTTCCGGAGCCTGCAGGCTCTGCTCCAGGGCTGGCCCCAGCTGCTCAAGGACTTCGCTGCGTTCCTGCTGCCCGAGCAAGCCCTGGCCTGCGGGTTGGTGAGTAGATGACAGACAGCACCTGGACTCGGGGCTCAGAGCGAGACGGGTGAAAGGAGCTGCCGGACACTGTCCAGTCTCCTTACTCGGCCAAGGCACCGAGAGCCGCCTCTGTCCACAGGACGCCTGCCCAACCCCCTTCTCCCATTTCCTCCCATGCGGGATGGGGCGTCCTTCTAGTTGCCATTGAAGACCGAAGTTAAGTCAGGTGCTCCTTGCTCGTCACTGTTGTAAAACAGGCATGCAGTCAACAAAAATGAATGAGTGGCTACTATGTGTCAGAAGTCCTAGGTACGAAGACGGTGGTAATTCCAAAAGACTAAATCCTTCCCTCGGCGGGTTTTCATCCTCATAGGGAAAGTTTCATGATAACCAGTAAAGTACATGTGTTATACAAATTATAAAATAGATATAAACAGTAAAATATATAGTGTATAATGCCTTATAGTGACACAATTTTATAGAAAATTAAAGAGGGAAAGGGGAATGAGAGCTGCAGGTGAAGGGGTGAGGGGGGTGTTGCAGTTTTATACATGGTGGACAGGGAAGGCCACTGTGCTGAGGTGACATTTGGAATGTTGGAGAATGAGGCGCTAAAGACGGGCATCTCCCAGTAGTTCTGGGTCTTTTGTATGGGAATAAAGGATGTAATGAGATTATTCTGGTAATCTTTAGGCAGTTAAATGCATGTCATGCAAGTCTTGTCTTCCTGTATTATTAGGAGCATCAAATGAGTGGATATGTGAGAATTCTTTGTAAACTGTGAAATGCCACATGGGCTTTAGTGTCTGATTTCACAGTCCATGAAACAGTAAACACCGTGAGATTTGTACATCTCATCTCTTTCATTGACACCTTAGTTACCTTGGGTCACTAGTCCCCAGACCCAAAGGTCGGTAGATGCTGGGTCTTAGAAGAAACTGACAGTTGTCAACCTGAGCCCTGCACCCCCATGCCCGGCCCTTGGTCTCAGCTCATGCGCCTAGAACCCTCGAGAACTCTCTAGCGGCTCTAGTAGGTGACTGCTCTCGCCCTCTTTCCACTCCGGTAGTTTGAGGAGCAGCAGGCTTTTGAGAAGAGTCGCAAGTTTCTTCGGCAGCTGGAAATTTGCTTTGCAGAGAACCCGTCACAGCACCAGAGGATTATCAAGGTCCTGCAGAGCTGTGCGGACTGCCCGCCCCAGGAGGTCACGGAGGTACTTTCCCGACCTTCTTTCTCTCCATTGTCATCTGGGCCTTGGGCCCCCCCTTCTCCCCTCCCCTGCCTGGTCTGTAGCCTTTGCTGCTGGGGTTCCATGCGCTTCCTGGAGGGGATGAAGGCAGGGATTCTTAGGCTGACTGGTCTTCACGCTCAGGAATGTCCCAGAGCCTTGGAAGGGAAGTTCTAGGAAGGCGGTGCTGGGCCTGAGAGAGGTTTGGCTCCCAGCTGGCTGGGCTGATGCCCGAGCTGGAGGTCACTGGGGCAGGGGCGGAGAGCGTTGTCGCTAGGGATCACACCTGTTAATAGCCCTCCCGTGTAGCAGGCATGGAGGGAGAGGGAGCTTCAGTCCTTGGCTAGCCCAGAGGGGCTTCTGTGTGTCTTCCAGTTGACTAGGAAAGCAGAGCTTGGACTTCCATCTTGGGGGTTGATTGGGAATGCGGCCTGCGGGGCTCTGCAGACTTCATCTGTCCCTACAACTCTTCCCAGCTCAAGACACAGATGTGGCATCTGCTCAAGGGCCACCACCACCTCCAGGATGAGTTCTCCGTCTTCTTTGACCACCTGCGCCCAGCAGCTAGCCGGATGGGTGATTTTGAAGAGATCAATTGGACAGAGGAAAAGGAGTATGAGGTACAGGCCGAGGCTGCAGGAGGGCTGTTGGGGGCAGGCCTGATGGAGGAGGGGCGTCTCCCGGTCTGTGTTGAGTGGCACCAACTTCTCCCTAGTTTGATGGCTTTGAGGAAGTGGCACTGCCTGACCTGGAAGAGGAAGAAGAGCCTCCCAAGTTACCCACAGCGTCAAAGAACAAAAGAAGAAAGGAGACCGGGGCCCCAAGTCACGATAAGGTACATCGGGTCTTTGGGGCTGTTCGGTTTTCACCAGTCACGCCTTGAGCTGCTGCCGGAATGTCTGTCTACTTTAGGGTGGGGTCAGACCTTGGCTCTGAGGCTGCCATGGGTGTCAGAGCCCGTGGGAGGAACGTACAGCTACTGGAGAGGCCCACGCCCCATCGCCTCATTAGAAGGGCCTGTTTCCAGTTCTTTCTAGCTCAGCTGTTTCTCTTGCCCTTGGGTCTTCATGTCTTCCTTTGTGTTCATGTGAAGAAATAGAACCAAGACTCCAGGTTGAATGAAAATAACAGCAAGACCACATTTCTTGGAGCACTTTGCATGGGTTATCGCTCAGCTAATGCCCACCGTAACCTGTGAAGACATTGCTCCCATCGGCATTTTACAGAAGAGGAGGCGGAAGAGCAGAGAGAGGCCATAGCCAGGTCTCACGTTTCCTAAGGGCAGGCAGGCCTAGGATGTGAACCCCGGCTCCAGGCTGCTCGTACTCACTGCTGTGCTGCTCTTCAAGAAGTTGTCTTTTTCATCCGTGTCCTTTGCTCTTTCTTGGGGAAAAACTGCTTCTTGGTAGCTGAATGACCTTGGGCCATTTACTTAATCTTTGTTTCAGTGTCCTCACCACCAATGGGGATAATAATGGCACTTATGTCTTGGGCTTATTGAACAGAGAGTGTCACTGAGTGAGCTTTCCATTTGTACAAAGCCCTTTCTCAAGGGGATTGGAGGACAGGGGAGAGCTCAAGGCACAGGGAGAGAGAAAAAGACAGACGAGTGAGTAGATCACATCTCAGGAGGGCTCTCTCCACTGACTGCCTCAGACTGTGTTGGACTTAAATATTTCTTGAAATGTCTGGGCAATTGGGACATGTCAGTCTTTGGGTCATTTAAGGATGTTTCAAGGATCCATAATAGGCTTTTCTGGAGTTTCGGTGTTGATTTCCTTAGGCAATGTGAAGAGATGCTGTGTAATAACAGAGAAAGGCCAGGGCCCGGGGGCCGGGGCAGGCTTAGCATCCTCGCTTGGTGCCACAAACGCTGGGCAGCTAACCAAGCCCAGGTCTCTCCTAGGAGGCTGAGTGGCCAGATGGGGCCAAGGACTGTGCGTGTCCCTGCCATGAAGGAGGTCCCGATTCCAAGCTGAAGAAGAACAAACGGAGAAATTGTAGCCACTGCAGTGGCAAGGTGAGGAGGGGACAGGTGCCCACGGTTCAGAGCTGCCCAGGGCAACCCCAGCTTGCCTGATGCTTGGGGCATTGTTCCTACCACAGGTGTGCACCTTATTGATGTCCCGAAAAGGGTACACAGATATAAATAAGTTCAAGTACAGACACAGAGCACAAATAGAATCTTTTAAAAACATATTGTGGATTTTGCTTTTTAAAGAGAATCCTGTGGGTAAAGCTTTTGGAGTTGGAAAAAAATCTGGTTCAACTATTGGGTTGTCAGGAAAGTCATGATGCATTTTGCATTGAAAAACAGAAACATATGTCATGACTTTCCTGACGACCCAATATTTCCATCTTATTCCCCCCCACCCCCAATGAAATAGACCCATGTCAGGGAAGCAGCCCCTAAAGGTGAGCTGGTTCCTTAGAGCAGGGTTGGTTGGCAGCGAAAACGCAGTTCTCAGGAGCTTGAGCCCAGCCAGGGCTGTGCTCTGCGCTGTTTAAGATCATTGGAGTCGGGTGGAGTGCGGCTTGGTTGACTTGCTGAGCTCGTGACAGGGCCTCTTCCTTCGGTCGGCCCCTAAGACCAAGGAGGTCAGGACACCCTTGACCCAGAAGGCCATCCCTGCAGGTCTGTGACAGCAAGTCCTACAAGAGCAAGGAGCTCCATGAGTTGGTGGGCAGCAGCCCCCAGCGAGAGGCCAGCCCTGTGCCTGCTGCTAAGGAAGCTGGGCAGGGCAAGGACGTGACGGAGGAGGACACCCTGGAGGAGCGGGGGAGCACTGAGGCCCCCCCGAGCAGGGCTGGCCGGAGTGCCCGCAAGGGAGAGATGCCCGTGCCCGGTGAGTGAGCCGCCTGCCGCCCAGCCTTTCTCCCTTTCTTTGTGTCTTACTGTCGCACACTTCAAACAAGAACCTCTTTGAACCTGGATAAGTGAGTCTTTTCAGGGGTGGACTAGCACCTGTCTTAGTAACAAACCACTAGGACACTCCTGCCATCCAGCCTTAGCTCTCCCTCCTGTGGCCTCAGCCTGCATGCAGGATCAATAGGACTCAAGGGTTCCCTTGCATTCCCATTCCTGGGCCCTCCCCCTTCTGCAGCCCCTCTGACCCGCATTCTAGACTTCTCAGCTTGGCAGCCGCTTCCTATCTCCCCACTGTGACCGTAGCCCCCAGCCCCGCCTCTTAGATTAGAACTTGATCACAGTGTTCATCAGTGTGCGCCTGTGGTAAGCTGCGTGGTACATTCGGGCCTGGTCAGACCCTTAGGTCCTGGTTTTCCTCCTAAGCAGGACTGGCAGTGGGGAGCAGTTCGTTGTCCCCTCAAGAAGTGACTCCTTCAGACGGCCAGTTCCTCCCGGATGGCCCACCGGCCCGCTCACCAGAGCCGCGTCAACTTCCCTCCAATACCGGAGCTGTGCCAGACAGCGCTCAGAGAAGCCAGGCTGGAGCTGAGGCTGTCTCCTGCCCCCAGGCATCCTCCAGGCTTCTGCACGAGAGGGGCGGCCACAAGGCAGCGGGGGAGTCAGAGGCTCCCAAGCCGGTCTGGGATGCCTCAGAAACCGAGAAATGGCCTGGAACTGTCGACCCCCCTGCATCCTGCCCGAGTCCTGTTTTCTCGAGGACCAGAGATGTAGGGAGAAGCCAGGAGCCTGGGAAACCAGACGCTCATGAGAGCTGGCTGCCTTCAGGCAGAGCCGGGGTGAAGACATCAGACAAGGAGTCCCTTGACCATGATGCTTCCTCAGGAATGGACACCTCCGAGACTTCTCCCAGAGCCCCTAGAGGCGCTTTGGCTAAAGACAGTGGAATGCAGGGCAGGGGTCCAGAGGGGGAGCCGCCGCCAAAGGCCACAGAAGTCACAGTATGTGCCAACAACAGCAAGGTCAGCTCCACTGGGGAAAAGGTGGTCCTGTGGACAAGGTGGGTAGGGAAGATATGTGTATGTGTGGAAAGGGCATGGAACACACCGGAGTTACCCATGCAGGACTAACCACAATACATGCTTACAGGGAGGCTGACCGCGTGATTCTCACTGTGTGCCAGGAGCAAGGGGCGCAGCCGCAAACGTTCCGTATCATCTCCCAGCAGCTCGGAAACAAGACCCCCACCGAGGTGAGCGGGGCCTGTGGGAGCCCCAAGCCCAGAGGCACTATGGGGGCGCTGGCCAACCAGGAAGGTGACACCAACTGGTGACTGTAAAGGTCAGCCCTGACTCATCAGGGTGGCTGTGCTGGTTTTAGAGGAGAAAGGGCACTGGGTTTTGAGGCAGAGGCCCCCGAGTTCCCACTCTAGTTGTGTTTTTAGGCGGGTGTGAATTTTGGCTCAAACAGCCTCTTACCCCGAGTCTCCTGTGTGAGGAGGACAGCCTTCACG